TAAAAGAATTCAAACTGTAATGGGAAAAAAAAAAAAAAAAAAAATAATTGTCATTTTATTTTGTAAATTCTTAACAATGAAAAAGTAACGAAATTTTTTTTTAGAAAGTTTTTTTTTGTAGCTGATTTTATTCGATCATGCAAAAGCAATTTGCTTTGTTAAAAAAAAAAAAAAAAAAAAAAAACGTTAATCGATTCATATTAAGAAAATAACGGTTTTTTTTGTGTTGCAAATTATTTCGGTCGTTTAAAATGATTATTTTTCCATTGTATTAGTACTTATGAAATTGCAAAATTTAAAAAAACCGTTATTTATTTTTTGTTGTTGTTTAGATTTGAAAAAGGAAGGAGGAAACTATTGAATTTTATATTTTATTTTATTTCAGTTAAAAGTTTTTCTTTTAAAATACATATATGTAAATAATTATTTAGATGTTGGTATTCCTGTCGAATCATGTTTTTTTTATTTTCAAACATTAGTTTACAGGTCATGAATAAATCCATCCTTGCAATTATTATTATTATTCAAAAAGACCGTTTAAACTAAAAAAAAAAATGGGGAAATAAAACAATTGTTGATTACACACACACACACACACACACACACAGATTACAATTATTATTATTATTAATATCTAAAAGCGTTAAAAATAAATAAATAAGGTCAAAACCCAATTTTTCAAACGTTTTAAATAAATTAAAAAATTAATATTTTTTTTTTTTTTTCAGCGGGAAAAGACAATGTTAATATAAATCTTTTGATTCCATTAATTAACAAAGCAGAACTTTCTCGTTTTGAAGTTCAAATTTTAACCGACATATTGTTGACTAAACATTTGGATGAAGTCACGGATCAATTTGAATGGACCGAAGTGAGTAAAATTTTTTTAAAAAAATCAGACATGTATATTTTATATTTTATTAAAGTTTTTTTTTTTTTTTTTTTTTTTTTTTATAGGGAAGACAAGATCCCGTGGTGAAATTGAAAAAACAATTGGCTGAAAAAGAAAAAGCTTTGGCGGAAGAACAGGAAGCATCTCAAGCGTGTCAAAATAAATTAAAAGAATTGAGATTGGAATACAATTCGGAAAGAGCTCGATTGTCTCAAGCTTGTCGCCAATATGACGAAACGATTGTCGCCAAACAAAGTGAAATACAAAATCTTCATGCGGCTAACAGGCATCTTATTGATAATCACGTGGCAGAAAAACAAGCTTTGACGCAAAAAATTCAACAGGTATCTTCTCTCTTCGGTTCGGTATTTCGGTACATTTGTTGTAACATTTTATTAAAGCGTTGTTTGTTTGAAATTTTCAGTTACAAGCTCAAATCAATGATGAAAATTTAATGATTCGAAAACTTCAAGATGATCATAATCAAGCTCAAAACGCTCTTCAACAAGAATTGGTTAGTCAAGGGCAGCAAATGGAAATACACATTGCAAGACTCAGGGAACAGTTGCAAGAAGTAATTTATTTATTTATTTATTTATTAAATGATTTAAATGTATAAAAAATATGTATTAATTATTATTTTAGACGCAAAAAAATTTCGAAGCTCAGATTCATAGCAAAATACAAGAAGCGGAACAAATAAGAGCGTCGTTCAATGCCGAATTACAAAAGAATCGAAGATACGAAGAAGAATTGAGAGATTTACGAGAGCAACAAGTTCAAAATCAAAATATAATTAAAAATTTAGAAACTCGAGCGTCACAATTGAAAGAAACGAGTAGTCATACTCAAGAACTCGTCAGACAGATCGAGGTATCGTAAATTCAAATTTGAAAATGTTGCGTGTCTCGCATTCGGAACGAAATATATATGTAATGTACGAGATTGTGTTTATGCAGGAATTGCAGAGAGTGAATAAAGAATTGGACATGCGGTGTAACAATTCGCATCAGTTGGAGGAAGAATTGAAATTTGAAAAAACCAAACTACAAAATGAATTACATAGCTTTAAAAATAAAATGATGGAACTTCAAAACGAATATGAAAAATTATCAAAAGACAGAGAGAAATTGGCGGCTCAAGTGGCGACCAAAGTTGATTTGGAAAAAGATTTTATGAGGTTGAAAGAGGAAAATCTAGGATTGATATCTCAGGTACGCGGCATTGAATTTTTATTAAAAAAGTTTCATACGAAAGTAAAACATAATAATAATAATAATAATGATAATAATAATTTTCAGGTGTCGGCTTTTACCAAAATGGAAAAAGAAGCACAACAGTTGAGAGAAGAAAATGAAAATTTAGCAGCTCAAGTTACGGCATTCACTGAAAGGCCGGCGGCTGAGGGACGTGAAAATGGCGACACTCCGTGTATCGAAGTGAAAAAAAAGAACATAAATTCCGAGTTTATAGATCACGAAAATGAGTTCGTTATTTATTTATTTATTTATTTATTTAATTTAATCATAAATAATTCCGTTATCGAATTTAAATAACGTTTATAAAACAGGTTACGAAAAAATGGCGCTCTAGAACAAATCGAAGATGAATTGAAGCAAAAAAAATTGCTCATTGAAAAATTAAATACCCAAGTCGACGGATACCAGTCTGATGTGAACAGGCTGTCCTCTGAAATAATTAAACACAAGACTGAAATAACAAAGCTCAAAGAAGAATTGGAAGTTCAGAGAAGTAAAAATAACGTATGTGAGACATTTTATTTTTCTTTTTTATAAGTCATTTAATCAATTAATTAATTAATTAATTATTACCGATAGCTAATCTGACGTTGATTGATTGATTGATTGATTGATTGATT